TGACCCTTGAAACTGCATTCACCCCGACAGTCTCGTTCTTCACCCCTTGCATGCCGTTAAGCACCATTGCAGTCACTTGAGTCGCCAACTCCAAAATCGAGTCCGTTTTATCGCCCATCGCCATCGTCCGCTCAATCGGCCACTGGTAACTGTTGGACGACATCTCCTCGATAATTTCTAGCGCCTCATGTGAACTCCGTCCCAAAAGAGCGCCTCCTGCTGAAGCATCTACCACTGCCTTCATGTTTCCACTCAACCCATTGTAGAAGTAGCATATTAGATAATCCTTGGAAAACCCATGTTGTGGGCATCTCCAGAGGAGTTGCGTGAAACGTTCTCAAGCCTCATAAAATGGCTCTCCATCTTGCTGCTTGAACTGGGTTATCTCGGTTTGAAGCCTTAACATCTTACTTGGCGGAAAAAATTTCAATAGGAATTGTCGGTGCATGTCATCCCATGAAGTGACCGTCTCGGCTCTCAACGAGTTGTACCACATCTTCGCCTTATCTCTCAAAGAAAAAGAGAAGAGACGAAGTTTTATTGCCGGGCCGGGTCGAAACCTGGCCCAGCCCGCTTGTAACTAAGGGCCGGTTCACTGAACCGGACCTTAACCGCCGGGTCGCAAACCCGGCGGGTCGAGTCGGTTCTGGGCCGGGCCCCACATATTCTTCTTCTTCCTCGTTGGCTCAAAAACCCGAAACCCGAACCGGACCCGGCCCGGTCCGCCGTTTTTTTTTTTTTTTTGATCGAAGAGGCCCGGGACCGGCCCTCTAGATGTCCGGTTCCGGTTCGAAAACCGGCTTTTCCGGTCCCGGTCCGGTTCGGGCCAAGGCCATGTCTAGTCATATTCCAATATGCCCCCAACATGCCCTCTCATTTTTTCTATAAAATCAATGTGAGACAACTCACAAGTAATATTTCAATATTCGTCAATCAATATCTATATATAAAGAGACAACTCATTTACCAAAAATAGTAACAAGAAAGTCAACCAACATTAATTATAATCTATTTTTGGCAGTTTTTATTTTTTAAAATTATTCTTAAAAAATCAATCAGCTATATATGCACCCTAAATTCATGGTTTTTTTAGATTTATTTTAGGTAAATTTCTATTGATACTTACAATTTTGCAAAAGTAATTTTTTTCTCATTTTTTTATTTTTTATTTTTAAAATTGATTACCATAAGATCGAAAATTTCGAATTAAGCAAAATACTATCACAAATATCTTTTACTAGTTGCAACAGATTAATTGTTTATTAAAAAAATCAGATTGCGTAGAAATCGGGTTAAATTATGTAAAATTTGGTATGACAATTTTGTAAAAGCGAAAATACTCTCATTTTTTTATTAAAAAAAATTTGTTTACCATAAAATCAGAAATTTCGAATTAGCAAAATATTATAACATATATGTTTAACTAATTTCAATATATCATGTTTATTAAAAAAAATCGAATTGCACATCAATCGGGCCCAATTTCAAATTCAAAATTAAAATTTAAAAATCTCTTATTATTTAGCTATTACTTTCTTTAGTTCAATTTTTTTAAACACAAAATAGTTAAGATAACATTAATTTGCAATTCAAAATAAAATCGAATTGGAACATCTTAAAAATTTGGGTTTTTGTTTAATCCGCTAGAATAAAAATTTGAAATTGATTGCATACACTTACAAAATAAATACTGATTACATACATTTACAAAATATCATATATATCCTGCTAAATAATTAATTGATTTATTTAAATCTATCTCGAATCTAAATATTTTTACTTTAATAAAACTAGTTCGTGCATTGCACGGATGGCGCACTATAATTTGTAAATAAATAAAAAAAGAAAAAAAAAAACATGTTTTTGGTGCATTTAATTCGAATTGCCACTAAATCAATTAATTCGTGGCAGATGCTAATCTCTCTCTTCCCAAGTCCCAATATTAATACGTCACGTTATAGACTCTTTACATTATTATCCTTCAAACCCTCTCTAAAAAATAAAATAAAAAAAATAAATAATAAAAGAATGGCAGAGAGCTATACTTCGAAAGTGACCAAAGTGCCCTTCTCAGCCGGTCAAATGGAGGCGCTGACCGCCTTGTGCGACACCCTTTTGCCCTCCGTCGATATTTCCGGCGACGATCTCCGCCGCCAAGACCTCCATGCGCCGCTTGATGACGTCATCCGGTTCTATCAAACGTCAGCGTCCATGGCCGGGACTCCACAACTCGTGAGGCTCGCTCAATTTTTTTATTTTTTATTTTTTTTTTTGTTTCTAAATTAGAGCTTAAGCATAAAAAAAAAATAAAAAAAAAAATAAAAAATGAAAGACTTCGGATCCTCTCCAACATTCTACTAAGCTAAATAATATATAATAATTATTTATTTTGTGGGTATATATATATATAATTTATTTAATTGTAAAGCTGATATCATCCTTTTTTCAATATACATATATTATTATATTATATTGAAACGTCATACTTTGCCGCCCTTGTGGTCCTACCCGACTCGATTCTGAATTAGTCGATTCTCATGTGGTTCCAGAAATCGGAAGGTCCCCTGTACCAAAAAAAAAAA